TTAATGATTATCCCACAATGATTATTCTGCACACTGGAATTTACATAGCCACATGTCACTGCTAAATGACATAGTGGATAACACTGAAACATCAGAAGTCTGAGTCTCAAAAAATAACTACTCACTTTACTTACATTAAAAACAAATAGCTCTATTTGCACACTGTCTGCATTACAAAATCAAACGATATCTTAATATGTTTCGGGATTGACAAAACTGACAAAATTCAGAGGCCCCAGTATCAGTAAGAACGTGTTGCCTCTGTATTTCACCACAATAGACTGCAACCTTAGCCCAGGGTATTCTACCCTTGTGCTCAACTGATGAAACTCAATGAGTTGAGACAAGGTTAAGTGAGCGAGACCTCTGATAGTTAAAGTCAGAACCTTCTCCTTAGGACTTCACTACTTGTGAGAGCCCAGACATTGAGTGTCAGCTGGGTATTCAAACATAGGATGCTTCATGACCAAAGCAAACTGATGTACACACATGCAAACAGCCAGCGGAATCCTTGCCTGGAATCTCACCTCTCTAATCCATGGACAGACACTAAGGCTAACTGCAGTGTCTCCCTGTGGCACTCACTAAGCACATCAACTCAGTACAGATCAAATGCAAAACATTTGCATGCAAAATACCCAGTCGACACACTTTACAAGATATCTAAGATGCACTTTGAGATATTCTCCTGATATGAAAAGCACTAATGCAAGGATTATTATTATTATTATAATAAACTGGACCGTCCTAGCTTGTTTATCTGAGCAGCTCACTACAGATGCATTCAAGCACTAAACTACAGGACTGCTCCCCATTCCAAAAATAATAACTAACAGGTTGTAACTTCTGAAATGTGCATCAGAGGCAACATCAGGCAATACTCGGGACTTGGAAAGAATTCATTATCCATTACGGTTTTCAACCTACTTAATTATAGTAGTCTGCTGAGCCGCTTTGTTGGAGATGAAAGAAATGTTATTATTTATTGAACATTAATGTACATTATTACATTAAAAGGGGAACATTCACTGGAGCAGGAAATGCTTTTTAATGTAATCTTATTCCTGCAAACAGTTTACATTGGTGGACTTATGAGAAAGAAGCATTCAGTGTGGAGGTGATCATTACGGTCTTTCATATTCTGGGTGCTGCCCCAAAATGTTTTCATTTGAATGTCAGCAAGACCGAGGCCCTCCTGACTGGCTCCCATCAGTGCCTCCATACCTCAGGTGCTGACAGCATCACCACCCTACTAAGCCAGTCCGGAACCTTGGCACCTTGTTTGACTCTTAACTATCCTTTCTACCTGACGTCCGTGTCATGATCTGCTCTGCCTTCCCCCACCTTCGCAACATCGCCTGGCTCTGCCACTGTCTCACACCACAGGGCGCTAAAACCCTCATACACACATTCATAATGACCAGGCTTGACTTCACAAACACCCTGCTTATCAGCCTCCCCAACTCCTCCCTCCATAGACTGCAGATCATCCAGAACTCTGCAGCCCATGTCCTCTCCTGCACCAGGCTCCATGACCCTATCACCCCCATCCTCACCCGACTCCACTGGATTCCCATCACACAGAGGACACAGTTCAAGATCCTGGTCCTCACGTTCAAAGCCCTCCGTGGCCTTGTTTCCCCCCTACCTCTGCGACCTCCTAATCCCCTACCAACCTGCTTGCTCCCTCCGCTCAGCGGACTCTGGCTTGCTTCACGTACCCCACCTCGCTCGCCCCACCATTGGTGGTCGGGCCTTCAGCCATTTTGCCCCCAGCCTCTGAACCATCCCTCCGCCTCTCCCCCTCCCTTGCCTCCTTCAAGACCCATCTCAAGACCCTCCTCTTCAACCGTGCTTTTGATCACCCTCCTTCCCCCACTTCCCTCCACTCTCCTCAATCTTGACCCCCAGCTCGGGTCCGAAACATTGACTGTCCAGTGCCTTGGGACATCCTCCTGACGTGAAAATGTAATATTTTACATTTGCATTTACTCATTATGATTAAAAGTTTCAAATACCAAAGGATACAAGTTTAAAAATGTGGTGGTTGAAAGAATGGATACAAATGTAATATTTTTGCTTTTAAATGCAGTGCTTGACAAGATAGGCAATGTCGAAGTAGTCAGTCTCAAGTGATGCTAAAGTTAAGCATTTCAGACCCTGAGATTAAAATTGAGACTTTGAAACATACCAGATTGAGCACCATTCACAAGAATATCCAAAAACTTTAGCAACAGGAAAAAACAAATAAACTTTTGACATTAATCAACTCCCACCTGCCATATTCTCACCAAATGTTTCAAACCTTTTCAACCCACCTTTATCTTGTTTGCTTTAATGGCCTTCCCTGGTAAATTATCCACATATTTATTACTTATTGTGTAAAATAGTTCTGTCTCACTTCCATTCTTTCAACCTCCACATTTTTAAACTTGTATCCTTTGAAACTTTTAATCATAATGAGTAATTTGCCAGAATCCCCTGCCAACCTTTCATCTTCAAATCTCTTTTGAGAAACATTAATCTTTACTTCCTCAACTTTTCGCTACGTCTTGAATTCCAGATATCTGGATACCACTATCTTCTCAAGGGCAATGACCATTAATTACATTGCATTTGTGAAATGCTCAGTCTGGTTTGGATACTCTTAAGCATGGCGATGGATTGCTAAATGTGACAGACACCCAGCTGAAGAAAAAAAACGATGTCAACACCTTTTGTCTCTACCCCAGTGGTAGACTGTCAGTAACCTGCTTTTGGCTGTGAAACAACTGCAATTCTTTTTAATATCTTTGCAGTGAGATCTGAAATGACTCCATAATCACACCCCATGCATGCGCTTATAATTGAAGCTCTAGTATTTGCAGGTTTAGTATCAAACACAGGGCAAATACAAACTAAGCAAGAACTCCTGTTATAACAATTGAAACCTAAATATATAATCCTTCAAGTTTAATTGAAATTCTTCAAACCATTCCACTTAACCGCAACCATAGAAAGTGAGGCAACATTCCAGCTTTGGTGCAGTTTTGATATGGACTTCATGGATTCCATACTTATGGTCCACATTTATTGTCCAGACTGATGTTAGCAAGTGAAATGGATTGATCTGGATAAGACCTTCAAAGCAGACAGTATTTTTCCTTCCCTTCTATTCCGTAATGCATTTCTGTCCAAGACGCTGTTGAGTGAAAAAGGCGCAACATAAATGCAAGTTATTATTGTTTTGACAAATGTCCCTAATGCCTCTGAAACTTGGGTCTTCCTCCACAAATGTTATTACTCTCCTGTTTAGATGATGGAGAGGCTACCCCCAGTAAGACAGGGGAATATAGTAGCAGTCCAAAAAAGGGCATTCTTCATGTTTAAGGCAAGATGGTGAATATTCACAAACCATTCGAGTGTATGGACATTCCAGTCAAGAATATCGCAAATACAGTTCATTTTTCCAGTCGGATAATGGCTTTATTATGCCAACATGCCAGTGTAAAGCTGGTATCCTGCTAACTGGCAACCTGTTCTATCGCACAATATTCTGCAAACTAGAAAACTAATGCGCGATGCAGCCATTAAGATGAATATCATGCTCAGGTTTGCTCAGGCCCTCCCGGGGTCTCGGCAATGTGGTAGTCATCATTAGGTTGCTAATTTCAATGCACATGTTAATTAACCCCACAGGTGTAAATTGCTTTGCTGATAACAGTGACACCACATCATCTATACATTGTGAGTTTCAGACCCTTCAAACGCATTTCACATATCTGGACCTCACAGCCGGAAGAAAGGTTGTTATCCCATCAGTGTTAGTTGGATCTGAATCCAGGTTGTGGGACTCAGAGGAATTCAGTCTGCCAACCACTGTTTCCCTTAATTCACTGACTTCACTGCAACACCATCCAGGAACTATTAAATCACTCCAAGATAGTTATCCAATGTAAACAGTACCCAAGTAGATTCCAGCAGCTTTTCAATTAAAATATCAGAAGGAGGTAACCTGCTGCTGAGCAGAATCTCCCCATTAACGGAGAGTTCATCCTCAATATTGGTGGGGCATGAACCCCTATTGAAAACTATGCAAGATAGATAAGGAGTCTCCTTTCTGATATGGGTTTTCATGTTGGAATGTGATTTAACTGATTTAGCAAAAAAATAAATTGATTCTACGCCTCAGCAATCATATATAATTAAATTTAGAATCCAATTTGTACAGTGATCCATGCATTCCGTTTGCCTTCTTCCCAACGGCAAATTCACAAACCCCAAGAGTTTGAGAAAGTAGTTTATTTGAACTGGACTTTTACACCATGTTCCAACTGGCACCAGCCTTTGGCAAGTACTCTATAGACTAGCTTCTGTGATCAGATATAACTGGTTATGAGGAGAGAAAGGAGAATGTGGGAGATAGCTGGGTGGGGGGGGCGGGAAATAGTCTATGAAGGGGTGGGTTAAAATAGTGCAGAGATGGAGCTGGATGAATATTCGTTCTGTGGTGTTTGTTTGATTACCTTTGGTATTCAGGACACATGTGTACAGAACTCTCTTCAGAGACAAAGCGACTAGGAAGAGGTCCATTATACAGTAGTTTTTGATAAGGCTATGGAAAGAATGGGCTCAAAGACCTGATCAAGATGGTCACTTCTCATTCCGCACTTTCTGAAGTCGGCCTATTCTGCCTTGTGAAAGTGCACTATGGAAAAGTAATTCTCTTCATTGTCACAGCTGTTGCTACACCACAAAATGATCATCCATCAACAGCAGTCACAGCAACACCACAAGAGAGATCTAAAATGAGGGTTGGGCTAATAATAACCCATGTAGCTGTAATCAAATGTAATTAAAAGAATCACCCACATCAGCAAGAAACTTGTGGTTTCAACAGTCCTACATTTCGTTGAATAGACTCGTAAGAATTTAATTGTCCTCCAACATGGTCCTCGCTGGACATCATTTAATATTTGTTCAATGTAGCAGCGTAATTGAAGGACAATAACAGAACTCACATGTGTTCTTCCTGCGGTTCTTGCCTCCGGATTCGCCACTCCCAGATCCTGTGCAGCCATCCTCGTCGTCACAGTCGCCACTGCTTTCCAAATCCTCGCCCTGACCACTGCCAACTTCTTTGGATGACCATTGTTCCGGGTGCCTGGATGTTTTACTGTGCAGCATCTGAGATTAAACAGAATGGGAACAGTCAGGAAAAGGATGAGAAGCTCCACTTATGGTCGACACCTGTAACACCTGGGAGTCCAGTGTTCCATTGTTTTTTGTTCTTGCTTCAATTTCCTCTCCCTCCTCCCCGAGGGCCCCAACGCCTGCTGACGTAGGATTTTATAGGTGCATATAATATTGTATAATATTGTACAGTCTATTAAAGGGGTGAAATGCTCTTGTATATATAATTTAACATACTCCATTACTGGGTCAAATATTTCTGTATGTAACACACTCTGTGTAACTGGATTGATTATTTGGAAAACATTTTATGACTGAGTCAAACTTCTAACACACTCTGTCACTGGGTTGAACACACCTGCATACTGTAGAGTGGCTGATTTTGCACAATCCAAATTCTGGACTGTCAGGTGGCCCTGACTTAATATCACTAAAGTCAATTTGCTCAGCTCTACAAGCAGCTGAACTGAAGCAAACCTAGAAATCTAATCTTTGCGTAAATATAAATTTGCAGAAGTTTATTTCTGCCTGAATAGCAGGCAATGAGGATTTAACCAGCTACAATCAAATGGCTCAGCATTGAAACCACTGTTTAGCAAGCTTCCTGCTACTTGTCCAGCTAGGACCAACCTACCCTTGCGGGGTATTGTTTGTCAAAAGAGTGGCAGAGTTGTTTCTAGTGGTCTCAGTAGTTTAGTTCCTGAGCCAGGGTGGGTCTCAGTATTCCAGGGCACTGCTGATGATAGACCAGCCAGCCTGGTTTATTATAATAATAATAATAATCCTTGCATTTTGATATAGCGCTTTTCACGTCGGGAGGTCGTCCCAAAGCGCTTCACAGAACACACTGTAAAGTGAATTGACTGTATATTTGTGGGCGAATGCGGCAGCCAATTGCGCACAGCAATGTCCCACAAACAGTCGTAGATTGAAAATGACCAATTTATCATTGGTTTTGGTTTTGGAGGGATTATTATTAGGCGTGTGGAGTAAGGAACCTTGCCCAAGGTTTCGCCCTGGAAGGAATTGGAGGGATAGACCAGTCATCAGGAGCAGAGATTCTTCGCACTCAGCTTCCATTAACCCTGCAAGCCAAAGCCCTACCAGGTTGGTGGTCCAAGCTGGACAAGCAGCAGAAGCTTGCCAGATAGTGCTCTTGCCAACCTGCACCTAATACCCTCCAGTATTAGGTAAGCAGGGGGCAGCCCTCTGGGGAGAGAGTGTGCATTCAATTCCAGACAGGGAAATGTCTATGTTTAAGTGGCATATATGGAACCCTCAGTCTGGTTTGGATACTCTTCAGCATGATGATGGGTTTCCACATGTTTCAGACACCCAGCTGACTTTAAAAAAACCCTGGTGTATAACATTTTGTCATTTTGTATATACACATATATACATAGAAAGCTTATGACAAACAAGGCACAGTTCTTCTGCACATATCAGATACAGATCTGATGGTTTTTTCTTTGGAACAGATTGGTACAGCAGATTAACATTGGCCCAACCTAATTGCTATTTTTTTCAAAAGAAAAATTGATCTACGCTGCTAAATGTCAACATCTACTCAAAAAGCTGTTCAAATGCACTGCAGGGCAGGGCAAGAGCTTCCGAAGGAGCAATCTACGAGAAAAAAAATCAAACAACACTTCCTGCCTCCTGTCTCTTGCCAGTGCAATGCACATATTTAAATTGAATCAAGTGAATAAAAAGGGTCACCTAGGGGTAGGCTGAAGATTGGCAGCCAGACAAATCGGCAATTTGACAAAAATCTATCATTTCTACAAAAATGCCAAGAAAAGAAACCGGTTTTGGCAGTGGGTATTTATAATAAGTCAATATACCTAACCATGTTAGACAGGCTGTAAATGTATTTGACAGATTTCATCACTACAGGGGTTCAACACACACCTCTGCCATTGACGAAAATGTTCAGTAATGGTTTCTTTTTTTATGATCAACAATAATGTTTGCAAGCCTGAATAATCTAAGAATCCACCTTCCTTTTCACAACAAAACACAGGTCATTGACTGCAGACAGGCTGACTGCTCCAGAAACAGAGAACATCAATTAGAGACTCGGGCAAATACGGCAACCCCTTCCCCCTCACCCCCATCCCATCCTTCACAAAGAATGGGCCACAGACTCCTAGCCTTTCACGTTGCAAAAAATAACAAATGCTAGTGGGGAATAACCCTCAGTGACACACTTGTTTTTTGGTAAAGTTTATAATAATAATACTTGTATTTGCTATAGAACCTTATCACGTCTTCCAGACATCTCAAAGTGCTTCGCAGAATATACTGTAAAGTGAATTGACTATATTTTGTGGGTGAAATATACACACATTATACTCACATTAAACTATGTGGTTTTAGCTGGTTAAACTCCAGCTGTACTCCAACCCACACTCTGGGCTCCTCAAGCCTTAGCTCTGTTCAGCCTGTGTCTAATACCACTGGAGTTAGGTAAGCAGTATAGAACTGAAGAGTGAATTCTAGCCAGATATGGCAAAGTTTCCATGTGTAGTTGGAACTCACAATCTGGTTTGGATATTCTTAAGGATGGTGATGAGTTTCTGTATGTATCAGACTTCCCAAAATAAAAATCATAAAGGTGAAGGATGGTAGTGCTGGGACGTGGAACAATTCCTCCTTCAGGCACTTCTGCTGACTGAATTAAATTCCGGAAGCTCATCAGCAAGTTTTTTTTATAAACTAAGAAAATTAGCTGCTGCGTTTCACCCACAAAATACACAGTCACTACACTTTACAGTATATTATGTGAAGCACTTTGAGAAGTCTCAATGAAGTGATAAGGCGCTATATCAAATGCAAAGATTATTATTGTTAAAGTTAAGTGGGCAGACAGATCCATCGCCCAAGCCGAAACACTTGGATCAGTCGCCCAAAACTCGCAGGAAAGCAACAGTAAAGTCTTGCAGCCATTCTAAACTTGGATTTCATAATTTTACCCAGCTTGTACTTAACCTGCTTCTAATGATAGTTGCAGACAGTAGCTCAGAGCAGTGATTGTAACACACTTTAAACATTGTATTCTCTTGGGTTGCTTTTGAATTTGGAAAAAGACAAGCAGAGAAAAAAACAGCCGGACTGCACCCTCCACCGACACACTAACAAGAAAAGTTAATGTCAGAATGTGGTCATTGCCAAGAATTAGTATGCATAGAGTACGCCTGCTGGCATTTCCTTCAGCAAATAAAAGCTAATTGTATGCTGCATATAAAGTACCTGAAAAGATTTGGCTTTAATTCCTTTCTTTCAACGAGCTCATCACAAGCCAGCATTGATTGATATGCAGAGAGGTACATCACTGCTGCCTGAAACTCAACACTTCCAACTGGTGAAACACTGCTGATCAATGGGTAGGGATGTGTGTTTGAGCGGTGGGCAGGAGGATGGTGGCAGTGCCCTCAAGTATTTCTTGTTGAGTTGTGCCCCTCATTGAGGCTTGCAATGAGTTCCTGGGACCTGCTATACACCTAAAATGGTCTTACAACTGTAATAGTCGGATGTTTAATGATCAATGGTTACTATCTTCTGGAGAGTGGGGGGGTTGGTGGAAGAGTTAAGTACAGTCTCCTGGAGACTGGGATGTCTCCAAGGTGACGTGCCTGGAAATGAAATAGAGTAAACCCTTTGTGCGAGTCTCAGTTATCCTGAGCAAAGCAGATCCAGCAATTGTGTTGTTGTCGGGAGAATACACAGCCCCATTGGCAATTCTAGTCACTAGGGGCAGGAACTCTTCCCACCTGACTTCTGTTAACTCTGCAAGGCAATGCTTTAACACATAGAGTGGGTCGATCTGGTCAAGCAAGCTCTCCAGCTAGTGCTCGCAATGGCAAGCTCTGCAATTTTTAGCTGGTTAAACTCCAGCAGCACATGCTCTAAACACACAGTATGTGGTCCTCAAGCCTTGGATCCTGCCAACCTGTGCTGAAAGCTTTCTGGAAATAAGTAAGCAGAGTGTGTCCCTCCAGGGAGAGAGTGCGCACTGCATTCAAGACAATTGGGAAATGTCCATGCTTAGCTGGCATGAATACGTGCACTTCTATCTGGTTTGGGATATACTTGAACATGGCAAGGATTTTCACATATATTTGATGCCCAGTTAGTTATCCAAAAAAAACAAGCCTGCATTGTGCTGATATTGTTTCCCTTTGCTGCTTTCTTTTCTCGTCTGCTGAAGACACTTTGACTCAATTTTCCTTTAAGGGCATGATTCCATGGATTTTGTCTGGTACCTCGGCCATTCTTCAAAGTGAATGTTGACACATTAAACACTGGGTGTCAGCAGGTCATTTAATCTAGCATTGCAGTCAGTCAGATCACATCCTTATCCAATATCCACATGCACTCATAATCAACAGGGGTCACTGCATAGTCAGGAGGAGCAAGAACCCTGGTTGATTTTTTTTCTGTTTCAACTCAGGGTACTGAGATTAAGTACAATACCCCAACTAAAATCAGATACCTCAACAGACCAGGGATTGTACTTGGGATTGAACAATCTGGTTCAACCAAGGAGCAGGCACAGTGTGCAGATTTGAAAATGAAATATACCCAGGATTTTCAATTTGCAAGATCCAAAATGGCTTTAATGGTCCTTAAATAGACAATATGGTTAAATATTTATTAGAGACTGCATGGATTATTTCATTACGCTGTATAAACTGACTGTGCTATTTGTAATATGTTGTTTTACATGATTGGTAATGAGGCCTTTTATTTCCCATTAATCAATCGAGCATAAACACTCATCAAACAGGCAGTGCCTGTACCACACCATTAATTCTACAGCATAGACATTAACACCGGCCACTCAATATGGACAGCAGTATGCTTCACCATGAGCAATGACACACACCACCAACATGGACCTCAGCACTCATCATCCACATGAACATTTGTATAAAAACAGGAGTCGCTGGGAACACTCAGCAGGTTAGGTAGCATCTATGGAGAAAGGAAAG